GTTTGGGTTACCTGGGGTTTGGCTTCTCCTCCTGTCTGGCAAAAGGTGTGGCAAACGGCTTGGAGAGCTGAAGTATCACTGACAGCTAATTGGATAAAATCACATGCTTCATTGCCTGGGGGTGTTTCATGTTTGTTTAATTGTTTTGTATTAGTTGGTTATATGGCAGCCATTTTGTTTTCCCCCGTGTGTTTCATTCGGTTTAGCTAAACCAGTATTTAAGTTCCCCCTGTGTCATTTCAGGAGGTCAGGTTGTCTTATTGTTGCACACTTGGATTAAAATAAATTGAAACCAGTGTGGCTTTGTGAGTTCGCCTTTACTGCATCTGCAAATATATACATTGACATAGCACAATGTTACACACTTTTGCAGTCTCACACAACTCTTATAGGTGCACTGCCTTATGGGTAGTCTTTAAACTCAAACTCAAATCACTAATATTTCTTACAGTGTAACAATGAAATAAACATAAACAAAAGATAGTGTGATCCACCAGTCAATATCTGCTGTGATTACAGCCCGGTACAGGTATAAATCCACCAAAAGCGCTACGAGGTTTCCGCACAAACTAGCTGCTAATCGTTAGCGTCACGGCTAATTCACATCGCTACCAATAACTTATACACTAATGACACATAGTGGGGATTAACGGCCAACTTTCCCACATTCTCTGCAACCCCGTGGACTCATCTGTAGATACATTTTAAGTTATTTACCATCTTGTATCTGCTTACCTGCAAATATATACATTGACATAGCACAACTTTACACACATGCAGTCTCACACAACTCTTATAGGCGCACTGCCTTATGGGTTATGGCTGGGCTTATTTACTCCCGCTAGAGCTGCTCATTTTAGGGGATACTCTCTCTTGTGGTGTAACGGAGGAATAACTACGCTTCCTGGACTATGTCATTTTTGGAGACTGGGGCACACATTATTTTACCACAATCAAAGAAAATACATATTTGAACAATCAGACCATTTAACTAACTATAATATTGTAACTAAAGATTAGGGGGGGGGGGGGGGGGGGGGGGGGGTGTTCTGTTTTGTCCACAATGTCTTTCTTGTCCTTACACTATGTTTGTTTGAGATTTTGTTAATTGTTATCTTGAGTTTAGTCTATTTAGTTGACCTCTTTTATTGGCCTGCCTGTTTAAGTTTTGGCTTTGTTAAATATATCTTTAATATTTTTTTGAATTAAAACACCTGTGTCCTTTATGCTTTACTGCTTGGTCCCTGACAGTCTCTCAGCCCTGTGACAGACTGGTGACCTGTCCAGGGTGTATCCTGTCTCTCGTCCTAAGACAGCTGGGATTTTTGGAACAGATTGGCTGGAGTTTAATAACCCATTGGAGCAGTGTTTGGGGATTTGTTCAAGACCTGTAGAGGCAAGAAGTGTCTTTGCTTCACTCAGCAGTGATGCAAGGTTGTCCAATGTTGACTCTGGGGAGAAGGAGACAGTGATGCCATCTTGGGAGACCATGTACCCTCCAATCATTCATTCTAAAGATTTCCCACTAGAGCAATCATGATGACACACTATTCTCAGCCAGTGAGTGAGTTGTGATACTTCCATGTAAGAGGAACATATCCAGGTGTTGTTAAGGGGCTAGAATCAGACAATTTTTTTCTGAGAAATAAAGGGCTTGTATTACTCCCTTCCTCTAGCCCACAGTTACTCGCCAAAACAGCAAGGGCCCTTTGTGGTCACACAGTGAATGGGGAACATTGATTATGAGGTGGTATTTTCAGACAAGGGTGGCACCACACAGGTGTATCACCTCAATCTCCTCAAAGCTTGGAGAGAGGCTGAAACTGCTTCTCTGGTGATTCTGATGAATGAACATTCCTATATTCCACATGTAGTGTAAGTGACATGAATGGAAATGAATACATTGTAAAAAGTAACATTTTAAACAAGCGAAGCCTGTAGAGAATTTAGAGAGCTCATCTAGGAAAAGCAAATGCTTTACATCACTTTCTCATGCTGTCAACCTCATTGCCACATCACTGGTCCATCCAGTCATCTTTCTGTCCATCTTCTTCAAGCCAATCAGCCTCCACTCAGCGTACTTTTAATCTCACTGCTCATCTGTCATTCTCGCTTGCAGATGTCTTTATGCAACCCACCTCCTCCTCTACGTCCCAATCCCCCTTTTAAGGTGTGGATTAAATGCCTTCTTTTTCTACATTCATGGTCTACATAAATAGATCAAGCTGAGTATATTCATTAGAATTACAATTTAGACTGAAATAAATTTTGTATTCGCATATATAAATTTGTTACATTAATATAACATTTTGTTATTTTTACAGAAAAAATGCTAGTAGAAATGTTCTAGAATGATTTACTTTTTGCTTTCTTACTCATTTCAGAGCCCATACCTTTTTACTTTTATTGGTGTAAACAACTTAAATCTGAGAAATCTTTAACAAAAATATATATACTACTACTTGAACTAGTAGTACAGAATGCTTGTACTTTTGCCACTTCTGCCGCTCAGCTTAGCCTGGGGAATCATGTACCCCAATGTACTTAGGCAACTTGGCAGGTTAACCACTGATACTCAGACAGGATGTGCACCACTAGCAGACATCTGCCCGAATGCCCGGGCAATAAAATCAGGCCATTTCCAGAGTTATATACCTGGGGGATATAACACAGCAGCAGCTTTTCGGCACCAGGAACTGGGTAATTTTTTATCCCAAGCAAGTGTCATGACTCACTCAGTATAACCTGTTTCTAATCCTTGTGAAGTCTGGATGTATTTGTACTGCAGCAGGGCACACCAGCTGACCATCAACTTGATCAAAGGCAGACCTGTGAATGTCATCACCAAACTGTTTGAGCAAACCATCTTCCATTGAGTTAGCAGCTCACATACCACAAATAACCCTAACCCTACTTTCAGAAGAGAGGTTAACTACACATTCCAGACAAGTGTGTTGCTCTCTTCATCAGGCACCCCCCCCCCCCAGACACACTGGTCCACTTATACCTCTTACTACTGAGCATAGAAACCTCACCCTACCATGCAGTTACCATGAAGAAGGTTATTAACCCAACAGCAGGACCAATATCTGCCCTTTTGCCATGACAATCAAAATTGAGGTCATGTGGATCCTCTCTCCACTGATCATCTGCCAAATGTTTCTACAAGGTGATTGAAGTCCACCGTTGGTAAATTCAGACCTGCAATTTGGTAAAAGCTATCTGAAAGACTCTCAGATCATGATAAAGAAAATTCTCTGGTCTGGTGAAACAAAGATCAAACTCTTTAGCCCAAATGCCAAACCAGGCACCTTTCATCACCTGACTAATACCATCCCTACAGTGAAGAATGGCGGTGGCAGTGCCATGCTGTGGGTATGTTGTTTTTTTTTAGTAAATCTGGCCCTACATTGTCTTTCCCTACTTTAAATTACAACCTTATTTTTCACATGCTGTTAATTTTTATATGCTCTAACTCTAAACAACAGGGTTAGAATATGTTGGTTAAGTAAGATGCACATTTTATAGTCCATCTTCTGCACATTGTAAATTTGGTGTCACATAAGGTTTTGAATTCTGAGCACCACTCTTCTCTTTTCCTAAACTCCTCCTCCTCAGAGACATGCCTGATGTTGGCTTTGGGGGAAAGACAGCACCTCTTGCTTTCATTTTTAACTGATTATCCAAAATAATTTAAACTACAAGCAATGTTTCTACAAACTCTGGACAATCACCACTTTATATTGTGGCCTTTGAGCTACAACATGAGCCCCAACTCAATATATATGAATTCCAGTGTTATACATACAATCTATCCTAACCCACTCAACAGTCTCAAGATACAAATATTCTATATTAAACAACTATGTAGGACTGCTTTCTTCCATTTGTAAAATATCTCTAAAATTTTAAATATCCTGTCTCAGTGTGATGCTGAAAAACTAGTTCATGCATTTGAACTAGTAGTCTAGGCTGGACTACTGTAATTCTTTATTATCAGGAAGCCCTAAAAACTCCCTGAAAAGCCTTCAGTTAATCCAAAATGCTGCTGCAAGAGTACTGACAGGGACTAGAAAGAGACAGCATACAGTATTTCTCCTACACTGGCTTGTCTCCATTGGCTCATTGTTAATTCCAGAATTGAATTTAAAATTCTGCTTCACACATACAAGGTCTTGAATAATCAGGCTCTGTCCTATCTTTATGACCATATAGTACCATATCAACCCATTGAAGCACTTTGCTCTCAGACTTGTGGGCTTCTTTGTGGTTCCTAGAGTATTTAAAAGTAGAATGTAGTCTTTAGCTTTCAGGCCCCTCTTCTGTGGAACCAGCTTCCAGCTTGGATTCGGGAGACAGACAGTGTCTCTACTTTTAAGATTACTTTCCTTTTTGCTAAAGCATATAGTTAGGGCTGGAACAGGTGACCCTGAATCCTCCCTTAATTATGCTGCAATAGTAGTAGGCTGCTGGTGGACTCCCATGATGCACTGAGTATTTCAAAGTCAAAGCCAACTTTATTGTCATCTCTGCTATATACAGTTCAGTCTACAGAGAGACGAGACGGCTCCAGTTCCATACAGTACAAAAGAACAACAATAAATATAGGAAGAATAAGAAATATATATTTCTTTTTCAGTCATGTTTCTCACTCACTATGTGTTAATAGACCTCTCTGCACTGAGTCATACCCGTTATTAATCTGTCTCTCTTCCACAGCATGTCTTTTGTCCTGACTTCCTTCTATTGCCCCAACGGGGCGCAACAGATGGCCACATCTTCCAGAGCCTGCTTTTTCCTTCCCACGGTCACCAAAGCGCTTGCTCATAGGGGATCACATGATTTTGGGGTTTTTCTCTGTGTGTATTGGAGGGTCTACCTTGAGGCAACTGTTGTAGTCATTTGGTGCTATATAAATAAAATTTGAAATGGATCGATTATCATCAGAGAATATTGTAAACCTTGTCGATAAAGGACAAAACAAACAGATCCTGACCAGATTGTGTTTGCACGGCTGTTTATTGAGACAATATTAAATCTTCTTCTCTGCAATACACAATATGAAATGTATTATTATTTCTTTGTGTGTTACGGGAAACATTATTGTCAAGACTTCAGTTTTAAAGATTCTGACATTTTAGAACAAACAAACAAACACAGGAATTGCATCAGAATTTATTATCAATGTTCCACATCAGTGCTCCCTCGCTTCCACTGAGTTAAGTGACTGCCCCATCCCCCAGCTCTTGAATGCATTTTTTAGACACAAAAACTATTCATTTTGTAACATAAAAGGTATCACTTGCACATTAAAAACAAAGCACATTTATAATGTCATTATCCGCCATTGTCTGTGATTTCCATTATATGTTAATATTGCAATGAGGACATACTGATAAGGCATGGTGAACAAGAACAAAAAAAAATGAATAAAACATGATAATGAAGAGGTTAAAAGGGTAACAGAATGTCTTAACGGTATGTAGGCCAAGAGGAGGCAAACCTTTCTATCTTAAACAGAAAAAGGTGTCAGGATATGATGTTAGTAACAAGCAGAGCTAACACTGAAAATATTAAAAACAGTCTCCATTTTTGTGGTTAAACTGAGCTTTGATTATTGAGCAGTGAGTATTCTGTAGCTATTTCATCTCGCAAACGGGTGTTCAGCTGCTCATAAAGTTCAAGTTGTGGCTTTCTTTGCTTCCCCCACAGAATCACTCAGTAAGACTTCTGTCATAATCACACATCAGAGTGACAATGGAACATAACAGAAACATATATAAAATTTTTGGAATTATTATCATTTGTATTTTTATAGAAATACAAATCCACCAAGACACATAGCTGTTTTAACAGCTAGTGCCACATCAGATCAATATTTCAATATTTCAAGATCAATACTGACAACAAAAGCTGGACCAGCTGTCCTTAAATTCAGTAACAGTCAAACAAGTGGAAAAGTGAAGTAGCTATTTTAGAGAGCAGGCACATTTGGGATGTGCAGGTTGCAGCACTGGGGGTTAGTGTGGCCCTTGCATTATCTATTAGAACTTTTCAAACACTGTTGCCTCAATACAGCAGTGTAAGCTTTTATTTCGAAGCAGCACGATAGTGAGACTAGATCAGGGGTGTCAAACATAAGGCCCAGAGGCTGGAATCAGCCCAGCAAAGACTCTAATGTGGTCCGCTGGAAGACTTCAGAAAATGTGCAGTATTTCATTGATTTTAACTGTACTACCATAATTCCTATTCCTATTGATAAAGACTCTAAAAGATTAAAGGACATAAAAGTTTGATTTTCCACAGTTGGCCCCCTTAAACCCTTGTGCAATGACAATAAAGAGCTATTTTTTCTATTCTATTCTACTCTATTATACGGAAACTGAGATGTACAGTTAAAATTGCATTTATTTTTTTTAGATTTTCACTGGTTCGCCCAACTTAAAATCAAATTGTGTGGGACACAATTTAAAACGAGTTTGACATCCCTGGACTAGCGTCAATCTGCAGCATGTCTTAATGCACCTGAGGACAAAAGCAGGCAACAGCTTGGCACAATGGTGTCTGTGCACCACACTTTTCCTGTATTGCTGTGGTGCATGGCGAGAAGTAGAGTACTGAGCAGCTTGTGCACTCCTAGGGTGGTCTACTGAGCCAGCAGTTGCTCTGGTGGGCGCAGGAACACCACCATTACTGTGATGTTATCACTAGAACCAGCTGTCTTAGCATTACCCACCAACTGTTGGGCGACTCTTGCCCCCACATCATCCTCGGACTGTTCCACTGGAGCAGTTCCTCCTTCTGGTTTACCAGCCAGCTTTAGTGCATCCATAACTAGATGTGGGACTGCTGACGCCTTAACTGCATCAAAGAAACCATCGCATGCCAGAAGAACATAGTCCTCATCACCCTGCAGTTTCATTGTTAGGCTTTCAGCGTCTCCAGACACAAAGGGCTTCTGGTCAAAGTCACCTGAACGAGGGATGGATGAGTGGTTAACAGCTGCAAGTGAATACTGCAGAACCTCAGACTGTTGCAGTCATTGCCTGAAAACTATTTATTAAATCAACAGGCAAAACACGTGTACATAATCACTCACACTGCATTTTATGTATACAAAAACCCTCCCTTTTAGTATATTTTACTGTATATAGTAACCATTTGTACACAACACAAGTTACTCTTGTTTTTTACTTTATTTTTCTTAATTCTCTAATATCTCTGAGTCACTTTTTCATTCCCAATTTCCTAGTGTGGGATTAATAAAGTCTATAAAGACTCCCTGACTCTCAATTAAGACTGCAACAATTTAAGTAACTTCAACACATGCACTGCACACAACATTTGTTTTTACAGATGTTGCATGTAAGGTGAGGATTACTTGTCACCATCTAAGTAGTTTAACATGGAGCTGCAGTCTAGTTCTGTCTACACACATGGTGAAGAACAAAGAGGCAGCCTTTACTGTGATGCAAATAAAAAACGTGTATGTGTAGGGATGGCTATCGAAACCCGGTTCTTGTTGAGAACCAGTTCCCACTGTTTCAATTCCTTGGAATTGTTTGCCATTTTTGCAAACAATTCCCTTATCGATTCCAGTCGCCCCGAATGACGTCACCACGTTGCGGAGCGTCATTTACTAAGCGGCTCAAACACTCAAAAGTTTGGTTACACTTTACGAGAACGGATGACGACAGGGCAACTTGCAATACTTGCAAGTAGATATTTCATTTAAGGGAGGAAACACTACAAATGTGCAAAAGCATTTGCTCACAAAACACGCGATGACCTTAAATGAATGTCGTGTTTTTAATTCCGCTCCGGACTCATGAATCTCAACCCAGCAGCAGCGGTAACGTTTGTACGTCCTCTCCCATTAATGCGGCAGGGAGTGCAAGGCTGTGAAACGGAACGGTCTAGCCTTCAGATTTGCGTCACCGCTGTCTCGGTGGAGTTTAATAAACTCAGCAAGGAGCAGACGGCCATCTAAAATATAACAGGACACTGGCGTAAATTCTCGACCGTCTCACACTTCTGTTTAATCAGTTTTCTGTTTGACGTTTATTCAGCTGTGTGAAAATCCCGGAAGAACCCACCAGATAGATTAATAACGTTTTATTTAATCTAATAATTTTGATCTCAGCCAAACCGATTTACTCCGGATCAAATAAAACACCGAAAAAAAGGCAAACAATTACATTTTTAAGTTATCCGAGTGACTTACTGTATATATCATGTTTAACCTGAGTAGCGAAAGAGCGGGGATCTGAAAACGACGAAGCCACAATTCCGCTGCTCTCGCCGGCTCGAGTGACCACTGAACCCCTCCGGCTTGCTATCCAGCGGGTGGCTAACAGACGTCTCCAAAAACGTCGGCGCACTTTTGCAAATATGCGATATCTTGATAAACCAAGCAGATATTTGAAATTTAAACAGCTTCTTTCTCGCCTGAAAATATGTTAAAAGTTTATTTTGTGACCCAGAAAGAGTAATAAGACTAATTTTAAAACTTAGCAGCGGCCGCCATTGTTGGCAGCTGAAATTTGGCTGGGCCGCGCTATAAAGGATATGGTGGGCCACGAAGGACACACCCGACCCATCCTTCAAATTCGGGGAAATGAAGGACGCATTTGTCACCGAGCAGTGTCTAAGCTTGTGGTAAAAGGCTTGCACCCATTTGCACCCAGAAGTGTGAGACGGTCGATTTTCGGTAAGTGAATGTGTTTAATTGTAGGCAGGGACATTACTGGATATTCTTGTGTAATTGCTACAGAACAATTTATGTTATACTTTGTTATTGCTACAGAAGAATATTTTATTATTTTACATTTACAATTTTTTTTTTCCTGGTGACCCCGTGACACCCCATTGAAGAGCCATAGGCTGGATCTCTTAAGATCTCACTGTTGGGTTTGTAAGGCCATGTTACTCCTAAATTTCTATCTTGTTCAAAGAGAAGATATAAAACAAAGTTCTAAGCAAATCGACCTTAGTGTTCTCCTTTTTAAAAAAAGAATCGATAAGAGAATTGATAAAGGATCAAATTGTTGAACAGAATCGAAAATGGAATCGGAATTGTGAAAATCTTATCAATACCCATTCCTATGTATGTATCCAGGTGACACATTATTTAAATTCTTCTGCTTGCTGAAGGTTGTTGGCAGCTATCTTGCTTTATTTGGCAGTGATTACTGTAGTCTTTCCATTACAATATAAAGCACCTTAACGCAACTGTTGTGATATGGTGCTATATAAATATTGAACAGTGATACCTGTGGCAAGCAGGGCTGATTCAAATGAGGAGCATCCAGTGGGTCACCTTAAAAAGGCGGTTCATGTTTGAAAATCCTCCAATCTGTCTGAATTACAACCATTCTCAAAAGATTAGTGGACCAAAATTCCTCCACAGAACTGTAAAAGACTCATTGCCAGTTAGGGCAGCCCAACTAGTTACTAGGCTTAGGGGGGGCGATCACTTTTTCACACAGGAACAGGACCATGTAGGTTTGGATTTTTTCCCCCCTTAAGAGTAAACCCTTCATTTAGAAACTGTATTTTGAGTTTAATTGTATTGTCTTTGTCTAGTAATTAAATGTGTTTGATCTATAAGAATTAAATGTTACAAACATACAAAAAAGTAGGAAATGAGGAAGGGGGCAAAAACTTTTTCGCACTACAGTAAACTACTAAAAACATTGCAATTTCTAACACCTAAACCAGTGAACATTTCATCAAGACCTGTATCTCAATCAAAAGAATGATCAGCAGAATACGTGCTTACAACACAAAAATTTCCTTTGTGGGATTAATAAAGTATCTATCCATTATTCTAGCTGTTGCCTTACTATCAATAATACTTATATATATATATATTAGGGGTGCAACGATACACAAAATTCACGGTTCGGTTCGATACTTTGGTGTCACGGTTCGATATTTTTTCGATACAAAAAAATGTTCATGCATTTTTAATTTGTCATTTATTAAAATTATAAATATATATTTTAACTCAAAAGTACAGTTTTTAAATTTAACCCTCACCCTTGTGCGTGTTTTTTATTTTGACAGCGAATGCGCACCTGCAGACCACTTATGTGCAGCCCTGGTTATTTAGCTCATCATATTGCAGCCACAGAAATTCTTTTGTCCATGAAACCATAAAGCTGCACTTTCTTTTTGCCTTATAGTCTGATTTGTCATAACTTCTCCGTTTTGTGGTAAGCTTTTCTTTGGCTGTCACTTCTTCACCCTGACCTGTCTTATTTGGCTCAGCAGAACTGAAATGCTTTTACACACGCACTCACAAAAACTCAGCGATTCTCTGCGCGATCAACCTCTCACATGTTTAAGCTTGCTGCGGGAGATTTCACTTGTCATGTTTGCATAGTAAGCTAACGATTAATAAGACGATGTCAGAGGAATTGGTGCACAAATTATCATCACTCACAGATCAGTACTGTCGCTCTCTATACACAGTTCGCACGATTGCAAAGTGAAAGCAAAAAAACAAGCGCAAATTCAAACGCGATTTCAATATGTCACATATTGACAGTGGCTCACCGATGCCAATGACATAATTACCCAGCTACATTTCTGAAAGAATGCAAAAGCATTGACATATATTTTTCCTACAATAGTCCGACGGGCAGGGGAAGAGCCCGACTGAAAAAATCGCTAGCTCCGGGACGTCGGGCTAGCGATATTGCGAGCCCTGTATCTGATTGAGGAATCACTCATCTTTGGAAAAGAGAGTTTATTACAGAGAAATGGCTCTTTCCAAAATAAAAGCTATACTATCCGCTTCTTCTGGGCTATATTCTCAGCAGCATAAGGAGAATCATGTGCTAACAGCTGTCTAAATGACTCGGCTAAAGTTAGTAGCATGCTTGCTTTTTTTTGTCTGCTTCCACTTGTCTTTGCACTAGGATGATGTCGGCGTAAATGTGCAGTCATATTCGTTGTGTTCCCACTAGTGCTTTCAGGTTAATCTCGTTGAAATGACCTTAACGCCACAACACGGCAAATCTCCGTTAACGAGCTACCGCCGATCGCTCCGTGCATGGGGCTAGACGGCCAACATGTTAACGAGCTAACTGCGCTAACACACTAGTTCACACCAATGTAATTGAGCATTGCATGGCACATCCAACATACTGTTTTTCTTTAGTCCATGACTCGCTTACCTTCAGGGTCATACGTCACATGAAAACCAAAATAATTCCAAACGCCAGATCTGAATGAGAGTGGGGGAGGTCCATCTTGCAAGGAGAGCTTAACTTCTGTCTCGCTAGCTTGCCCTGCGCTCTTCCTTCTGACTATGCTGTCTGTGTTGAGCGCTCAGTGGATCTGCGCTCGACAGTGCAGCCTAGGCGGAGTAGTCGAACACAGATTCACTGAGCGCTCAACACAGACAGCATCGTCAGAAGGAAAATTGATAAAATAAATTACAAATGTTGTATTGTTCGATACATATGCGTACCGAACCGAAAGCACTGTATCGAACGGTTCAATATCGATACGAATATCGTTGCACCCCTAATATATATATATATATATATATATATATATATATATATATAAATATAAATATATGAATGAAATGGTACATTTTCTAAATATCTAAACACAGATTGCAAATATGAGTTAATGAGATTCACAAATCATTAGATTTCCCTTTTACTTTACAATTTACACACTGTCTCAACTTTTTTTGGAACCAAGTTTGTCGTTTACTTTCAGTTAACATGAGCAACCTCAGTTTATGTAGCAGTGGAGGTCAATTAAGGTCACACTTTGAGAACTACTATATGATACAGCCAGTCAAATCACATCTACAGTGGGGCAAAAAAGTATTTAGTCAGCCACCGATTGTGCAAGTTCCCCCACTTAAAATGATGACAGAGGTCAGTAATTTGCACCAGAGGTACACTTCAACTGTGAGAGACAGAATGTGAAAAAAAAAATCCATGAATTCACATGGTAGGATTTGTAAAGAATTTATTCATAAATCAGGTGGAAAATAAGTATTTGGTCAATAACAAAAATACAACTCAATACTTTGTAACATAACTTTTGTTGGCAATAACAGACGTCAAACGTTTACTATAGGTCTTTACCAGGTTTGCACACACAGTAGCTGGTATTTTGGCCCATTCCTCCATGCAGATCTTCTTGAGAGCAGTGATGTTTTGGGGCTGTCGCCGAGCAACACGGACTTTCAACTCACGCCACAGATTTTCTATGGGGTTGAGGTCTGGAGACTGGCTAGGCCACTCCAGGACTTTCAAATGCTTCTTACGGAGCCACTCCTTTGTTGCCCGGGCGGTGTGTTTTGGATCATTGTGATGTTGGAAGACCCAGCCTCGTTTCATCTTCAAAGTTCTCACTGATGGAAGGAGGTTTTGGCTCAAAATCTCATGATACATGGCCCCATTCATTCTGTCCTTAACACGGATCAGTCGTCCTGTCCCCTTGGCAGAAAAACAGCCCCATAGCATGATGTTTCCACCCCCATGCTTCACAGTAGGTATGGTGTTCTTGGGATGCAACTCAGTATTCTTCTTCCTCCAAACACGACGAGTTGAGTTTATACCAAAAAGTTCTACTTTGGTTTCATCTGACCACATGACATTCTCCCAATCCTCTGCTGTATCATCCATGTGCTCTCTGGCAAACTTCAGACGGACCTGGACATGCACTGGCTTCAGCAGCGGAACACGTCTGGCACTGTGGGATTTGATTCCCTGCCGTTGTAGTGTGTTACTGATGGTGACCTTTGTTACTTTGGTCCCAGCTCTCTGCAGGTCATTCACCAGGTCCCCCCGTGGGTTCTGGGATCTTTGCTCACCGTTCTCATGATCATTTTGACCCCACGGGAAGAGATCTTGCGTGGAGCCCCAGATTGAGGGAGATTATCAGTGGTCTTGTATGTCTTCCATTTTCTGATGATTGCTCCCACAGTTGATTTTTTCACACCAAGCTGCTTGCTTGGTGCAGGTCTGGTGCAGGTCTACAATACTTTTCCTGGTGTCCTTCGAAAGCTCTTTGGTCTTGGCCATGGCGGAGTTTGGAGTCTGACTGTTTGAGGCTGTGGACAGGTGTCTTTTATACAGATGATGAGTTCAAACGGGTGCCATTCATACAGGTAACGAGTGGGGGACAGAAAAGCTTCTTACAGAAGACGTTACAGGTCTGTGAGAGCCAGAGATTTTCCTTGTTTGAGGTGACCAAATACTTATTTTCCACCCTAATTTATGAATAAATTCTTTACAAATCCTACCATGTGAATTCAGGGATTTTTTTTTCACATTCTGTCTCTCACAGTTGAAGTGTACCTCTGGTGCAAATTACTGACCTCTGTCATCATTTTAAGTGGGGGAACTTGCACAATCGGTGGCTGGCTAAATACTTTTTTGCCCCACTGTACATTTCTGTGGTTTTGTGAGTTGGGACTGACTTACCTATGGCTCTCGATACAGCATATGTGCCATTAACACGCCAGCAACCCATGAAAGTAATGCAGCCTCCAAGATCCTCAATTCTCTGTTTCTCATCCTGGACAGTTTAACACATCAGAGAAGGAGTTTAGCTTCTGGTTTCCTTCTCACCATTATGTGTGAGTATGTAAAAATAAGTGCATGAGTAATTTAACTTCACATGAAGTAACTGCATTTGTTAGTAATAGTTAAAAAAAACACATGCGCGTACACACACACACACACACAGAGTGTGTGTGTGTGTGTGTGTGTGTGTGTGTGTGTGTGTGTGTGTGTGTGTGTGTGTGTGTGTGTGTACGCGCATGTGTTTTTTTGAGCTCTGAGGAATGTTTGATCCATATCACGCAATAAACTTTCCAAATATTTTATCTGCATTCCCATTTTGGAATACAACATAGTATGAAATTTGAGGCAGCAGAGGTTGTGTGTTTGTATGTGGGATTCTTACCTCTCTCTCTGGTTTATGTGGGTCCATGAGTCTAACAACATGCCCATCTCTGACCAGTATTGCCTGAGAGTCTCCCAGCCAAGCAACAGTCAGCTCTTGATCCTGGATCAGTACTGCCACTCCTGTGCTGCCACTCCGGAGACGCTGCAGCACACACAGGTGTAATTTAAAGACAAAAGACAGAGCAAGACAGCACACCAAGTTGAGTACTATAGCATGTAAATGTCAGCAGAAAACATTGTGCTCAAGATGCTGCACTGCTGATTTCTCAGTACCTCTCTCTTGGCCTTGTTTCTGAACATGTCATCTGTGCGTTTGAAGGCTGTTTTAAAGGCTGTGGTTGCATCACTCTGCAGCATCTCCTGTTTACTTAGAACAACATGGAGGTGAGTGGAAGCGTAGGTTGCTGCATCCACCCCTCCATGGCCATCAAACACAGCATAGTAAGCACGATCTACATCATCCTGGACCATACGGGAGGGAAAGAAAGACACAGTCATAAATAAATGTCACAGAATGCAGTTTTGTGAAAAACTAAGTGTACCCCATGATTCAGTGGCTTGTAGGACCACCTACAATACACACCCTCTGAAGTGTGGGCTGACAGATGCCCCCCATAGGCAGCAGTGATCCCAGGATGCAGCCTACCAATCCCCAGATCTAGCCAACCCCTCAGATGGGACTCTAAAATACTTTGGTATGCAGAGGAGCTCATGGTGAAGTTGGTGACTGCAAGATATGCTGCACAACAAATCTAAATCACCTCTCCACCACCGTGCAGCATCTGTGTATGCTTGGCTTTCTTCAAATATGGCTTTTATAGAGGATCAGCACCTCACTGCTGCTTACTTTATTTCTATACAAGCAGTAAGGGTACACTTAGTTTTAACAGGACTTTATGCGGTCCTGTGAAAACTTTTTTTTTTACATGACAGTATGTTTGATAATTAGTTGGGATTGTAATTTCAGTTTTTATTTTTGTGTCTGTGATATTTTTCATACCTGAATTCCAAAGAGCTGGTTGAACTCGGCTAAAGCCAAATGTCTGTCCTCCATTTTTCTCCGGGTGTTTTTGATGGCATGAATGGAGCACTGGAGGTTGCGAGAGGGACAAAGAGCCACCTTGGGGAAGTTTCTGTGCCACGCCAGTGCTACATCTATCAGTTTATTCAGGAAGGTGCGTTGGACTGCCTCTGATTGAAATACTGACAATAAATTACAATACAAGTAAGAAACCTGTTATATTTCTGTTTTTTTTTTTCAATAACATCATGGACAAAGGCATTTTATTCCTTGAATTAATATGTACAATGGAAGTCAAACTACTTCCAGGTGGCACGGTGGTTAGCACTGTTGCCGCACAGCTAGAAGCTCCTGAGTTCAATTTCACCATCAGGCTGGGGTCTTTCTGTGATCTTTCTTCCTCCCACCATCCAAAGACATGCAGTTTGTGAGGATAGGTTAATTGGTTAAGCCAAATTGCCCTGTGTTAGTGTTAGCCCTGTGACAGACTGGCAACCTGTCCAGGGTGTACCCCGCCTCTCGCCCTATGACAGTTGGGATAGGCTCCAGCACCCCCACGACCCTGAAAAGTATAAGTGGAAGCGAATGGATGGAAGTCAAAATACTACTTTTCAGTGCAGTGCAATGCAATATTTCCAACCACTATGCAAATGTACACCAGTTCCTTATAGAGGAGAGGTCTACTCATAGTTTAATTTTAGTTTTTTACTTGTTTAAAAACTTTAGAAACTGAAATTATAATTGTTTGTGTTAAAACGGACCCTTTCACACACATGTGGCATCATCGAGGCTGAGGCTGTGCCCAAGTTGGCTGTGTGGCAGCAGACAGGGTGATATGTATTGGATAAATTATCATCTCCCCTTTTGCAGCCTCAAATTGCACTGTAAAAGATAAATTATAGTCTGCGAACATGCCAATAAGACCTGAGATGTGAAGACAAGTGTGAATGTGATCTGTGTTAGTACCGCTAATGATATTTGGTAATGATAAGTTGGTATCAAGTTACTTGGAGAGTGTATATCAGATATATGATCCTGGACAGACAACTTCCAAACACAAGATTATTTCATTCTGTCTGCTTGAATTGAATTGGTATCTTTCAGTATAATGCAATATATTCAAAGCACCACAAACATACAGACTGCTTTGTCATCTGCCTTCTCTTCTTGGTCACCTTCAGGTTCCTCAGGGCACTGGTAAGGTAAAAGGTCAGTCTGCAGCAGCTGGGAATATGCTGCCTGGCAAAGGAGGGCACCGAGTCTTGGAGAAGCACCCCTGAACAAACACAGAGATAAATACATGTTGTGTAATCTCTTGAAATTTGAGTCATTTTTCTAACTGCAGTTACAAAGTGTTGCACCAAAGTCCAAATTGTGGACAGAAAAAGAAAAGATAATTTTTGGGCAGTAACCTGTAAATGCACTTCTTTTCCTCTACAGAATTGCATTTCTCTGGCAGCAAAGATTGTGTTTAGGAAAAAGGAAGTGGCATGAACAATTTTGTTTCTGCAGACAGGAAATGAAACCTTCCTGACAGGGAATACATCTGTAGAAAATGTGAGCAGAACAGAAAGCCAGTCACAGTTTTTAAGTGTTACTTTTTCCTGCTCAAAGTTTAAAAGTGTTTGAAAGTCTTTTACCAGCCTCTTCTCATTGCAGAAAGATTGACTGCAGATTATTGATTTCTAGAAGCCCAGACTTCTTACTAGGGATGGGTATTTATACGATTTTTACGATTCCGATTCCATTTTTGATTCTGTTTAACGATTCGATTCTTTATCAATTCTCTTATCGATTCTTTTTTTCTTTTTTTTTTTTAAAAAGGAGAACACTAAGGTTGATTAGCTTAGAACTTTGTTTTATATCTTCTCTTTGAACAAGACAGAAATTTAGGAGTAACATGGCCTTACAAACCCAACAGTGAGATCTTAAGAGATCCAGCCTATGGCTCTTCAATGGGGTGTCACGGGGTCACCAGGAAAAAAAAAATTGTAAATGTAAAATAATAAATATTCTTCTGTAGCAATAACAAATATAACATAAATTGTTCTGTAGCAATTACACAAGAATATCCAGTAATGTCCCTGCCTACAATTAAACACATTCACTTACCGAAAATCGACCGTCTCACACTTCTGGGTGCAAATGGGTGCAAGCCTTTTACCACAAACTTAGACACTGCTCGGTGATAGGGCTGGGCGATATATCGAGTTTTTTAAAAATATCGATATATTTTTATATGAGATATAAGATGTGACCATATCCTTTATATCGATATAGCCTATGTTACGTTATAATTATAGTTGTGGAGCCACAAGTTCTCTTTTGTCCACTTTTGTCTCTACGCAACGTTACTCGGCCTCGCCTCTCCTTCACTAAACACAGCTCCCCCTCCACCCCCATCGCTTCACCTGCAGGCAGCAACAAGATGGACACGGCAAATCTCCGTTAACGAGTTACTGCGCATCGCCCCGTGCGTGGGGCTGGACGGCGTCAACGTGTTAACGAGCTAACCACGCTAACGAGCTAACCGCACTAACGCCATGCACAGCCTAAAATCCTTTCATTTTCTCAAAAGTTGACAGCGCGCCTTATGTATGAATTCTGGTTGTGCTTGATGACCGCAAACCAATTTTATGTGGAACACGGCGCTCAGCAATCTGTCAAAAAATGTTTTAGTATGACTTTGGTAAGCTACGGAGCTGCACCGCTTGATGGATTGTCGGAGCATTACGGCTACCGTAGTCCGGAGGCTGGCGGAGTGATACGTACTGTGCTTCAACGTAATATTACCGTATTGTGTGTGTATAAGGACCATAAATGGCACCTGTTAAGAGACACGGTTACAAAGAGGGTTTCAAACTCCAGGCTGTCAGTCACATAGTAGAAGTTGGGAACAGAGCAGTTGTGAAATCTGTCTTTGTTATTATGCTCAGCGTCTGTTAGTTTACATTTTGACTGCACAATTGTGAGCTCTTTGTTATGCACAAAAACAACAAAGTTTTCTTTTATTTATGGATCATTATTATTTAATAAATGCTCATAATTTATTTTTGAGTAGTTTTTTTCATGTACATCTATGCTGTATGTTAATAAAAGTTAATAAAATATCGAGATATATCTTATATCGCCATCCAGCTAAAAATATCGAGATATGAATTTTGGGTCATATCGCCCAGCCCTACTCGTTGACATTCGTATATCCTGGCCTGAAAGAAGACACTAACGGTAGACTGCAGCGAGAACTGCCAGCATCTGAGCCAACCAATTCGTCGACTCCTTCAAATGCGGCCGACAAATGCGTCCTTCATTTCCACGAATTTGAAGGATGGGTCGGGTGTGTCCTTCGTGGCCACCATATCCCAGAATTCATAGCGCGGCCCAGCCAAATTTCAGCTGCCAGCAATGGCGGCCGCTGCTAAGTTTTAAAATTAGTCTTATTACTCTTTCTGGGTCACAAATAAACTTTTAACATATTTTCAGGCGAGAAAGAAGCTGTTTAAATTTCAAATATCTGCTTGGTTTATCAAGACATCGCATATTTGCAAAAGTGCGCCGACGTTTTTGGAGACGTCTGTTAGCCACCCGCTGGATAGCAAGCCGGAGGGGTTCAGTGGTCACTCGAGCCGGCGAGAGCAGCGGAATTGCGGCTTCGTCGTTTTCAGATCCCCGCTCTTTCGCTACTCAGGTTAAACATGATATATACAGTAAGTCACTCGGATAACTTAAAATTTAATTGTTTGCCTTTTTCTGTGTTTTATTTGATCCGGAGTAAATCGGTTTGGCTGAGATCAAAGTTATTAGATTTAATAAAACGTTATTAATCTATCTGGTGGGTTCCTCCGGGATTTTCACACAGCTGAATAAACGTCAAACAGAAAACTGATTAAACAGAAGTGTGAGACGGTCGAGAATTTACGCCAGTGTCCTGTTATATTTTAGATAGCAAGGAGCAGACGGCTGAGTTTTTTAACTCCACGAGACAGCGGTGACGCAAATCTGAAGGCTAGACCGTTCCGTTTCACAGCCTCGCACTTCCAGCCTTCTCGGTCTTCAAAGGACCCAGCCCACGTAGACTGCGAAGGCCAGGTCCTCCGAAGGATGCAGCCGACGTTTTGGAACACAGCTTCTGTCTGTCTCTCTCATCATGGTCACCTAAATGCAGCGCACAGTAATGGCAGGTTTTGTAATAAGGCAGATCGCGCTAACATAATATGCACTGTTAGTTAATTATTTACCTGCCGCATTAACGGGAGTGGACGTACAAACGTTACCGCTGTTTCTGGGTTGAGATTCATGAATCCAGAGCGGAATTAAAAACACGACATTCATTTAAGGTCATCGCGTGTTTTGTGAGCAAATGCTTTTGCATATTCGTAGTGTTTCCTCCCTTAAATGAAATATCTACTTGCAAGTATTGCAAGTTGCCCTGTCGTCATCCGTTCTCGTAAAGTATAACCAAACTTTTGAGTGTTTGAGCCGCTTAGTAAATGACGCTCCGCAACGTGGTGACGTCATTCGAGGCGACTGGAATCGATAAGGGAATTGTTTGCAAAAATGGCAAACAATCCAAGGAATTGAAACAGTGGGAACCGGGTTTCGATTCCCATCCCTACTTCTTACCTAACAAAATGTTAACAAAAATGTTAGATGCAATCTCTCTAATCTGCAAATAAAATTTCTATTAAAAGTACAATACTGAACTAAACACTGTAGGATTAATGGTTACTTTGCCTCTTTCCCTTGTTATGCGTATATAAAGAGACGACCGTGGCTCAGGGGGTTGGGAAGGTCGCCGGTTCAATCCCCGGCTCTCTGTCCTGGTCATTGTGTCCTTGGGCAAGACACTTTACCATACCGCCTACTGGTGTTGGCCAGAGGGGCCGATGGCGCGATATGGCAGCCTCGCTTCTGTCAGTCTGCCAAAGGGCAGCTGTAGCTACAACTGTAGCTTGCCTCCACCAGTGTGTGAATGTGACAGTGAATGAATAGCGCTTTGGGTGCGTTGAAAAGCGCTATATAAATGCAATTCATTATTAGTATACAACAATAACCAGCATTCGACTGACATTTATAGTTTGTATAAACAAGAATAAATAAGTTTTACTTCATGTCTGCTTGTGTATCACCATACACTAAAAATCATTACATTTAAAAAATGGAATATGTAAAATAATCCACAGTATAATCCTTGTATTATAATATTAATTAAGGCCCTTTACTAACTAAATGGTGTGTGTCTTAGATAGCCACAATCATTTTCTCTTATTGGTCCACAGAAAATAAATTTGTTCATCGTTACAACTTCTATTCAGTTGTCTCCTTCCCAGTCATACTGTTTGCCAATAGCCTCAGGCCCAGCTCCAGGCTCTCTCCATGCAACTCCTCCATTGTGAATTACGACTAAGAGGGCTAACAGGAAGTGAAGCGCCTTCCTCCAGAGCAGCTGGAAACTCCTCCAAAATGCCTTCAAAAAGCACAGAGCCTCCTCCTGCTCCATCCCGCTGACTCTGGCTGGAGTGAACTCTTCGGTAAACAGGAGGTCAGGGCTCACAGGTCACTTCACAGTGGACAATTGAAGGGCACAAATTGAAACAAATTAATCAGTATAATTACATTACCATTTTCATCTAAAACTGTTTTTTGTCATACAAGTTCAGAAAACTATATAGGAGGTGCTTACTGTGTCACAAGATGCTTGTCTGAGAGTAAAATTAAAAGCAAAAAAACGTAAATACCCAAATTCCCCGAATCTTATATTTAATTGAAAGTACTAATGTAATGATACAAGTGTTGTTATAAGCTACAGGACTATAGGATTGCCACATCTTGTAATTGTACAGATTTATTGGTCGAGGATGTACTGCAGTCATCTGTGTGCATTTTGTGCATGATATGATGCTCCCTGAGACAATATAATTCGAAGGTATAGCATACAGTTTCATTGGTAGGGATATGATACCCACCTCTAATATAGGTATCAGTGAAGCCAGATAATACACACACTGACTACCGAAATGTCTTAAAGACAAAGACCTGGATGACCTCTAATTTCTTGTTCTAAATCGGATAAAACTGAGGTCCTTGTATTTGGCCCTAAATAGCTTAGAAATATGGTATCTTACCAGATTCTTAAGCTGGTTACCTCTGTAACATTGTGTGGAATCTCTGACTTATTTCTGACCAGGATATATCTTCAATACACATATTAAACAATATATCGGACTGCTTTTCCCCATTGTACTCTAAATATCTCTAAAGTTTGAAACATTCAGT